AACTTCCTATTTATTTATTGTCTGCCTTCCATACGATGCCACCCAAGCTAAGTTTTTCTTTTTTTTTTTTTCTCTTTCATCCTGTCAGTATTTTTTTTTAACTCTCCTGAGTCATTTTTAACATACAGTTAGGAATTTTTCCAGCCACTTGAAAATTCTATACTCTTTTCCTGCCATTTAAAATACAGTAATACAGTAAATCACTGCAACTGGGAAGAAATTCTGACTTGATCAGTGCAACCATGGTGTAAAGTGTGATAGACAGAATTCAAACACTAAGAGGACAGTCTCTAGTTTTCATATCTCATTCTTTACTTAAAGATAAGTTGTCGATTAACTGCCTTTAAATTAAGACATCTGAAATACATTTGTATATGTTTGGTATTACTAATTTTTTAACTATGACAATTTCAACCAGAATCCCTTTTGTTGGAAACTGAATTTCTCGTGTAATAATTAGCTGTGGAATATTACCCCAAACAGGTGTCTGTAGCCTGTCAAAGTCAGAACAGGTGATTTAGAATTAGCGTATTAAAAGAACTGTGAATTAGCGAAGCAAAAACGTGTTAATTTCTTGTTCCATCTGTTAATATGAATTCACTGCCAAATATTTTACTTTGTAGAACTGTGCTGGGATTGGCAAGAACATACACTATAAAAAAAGTTTAAAGGCCTGAATGTTTAAAAATCATGACATACGTTACTGCAAAAATAACTTCTACATTTTGAGCATGCTTTTTTTTTCTTTTTTATCTTTGAAAAAAATAACTGCAGAGATTGCCATATAATATAGAAAGTTAACTAAAGAAAACATACGATCAAATGTTAGACCTTTAAAACAAAAATTGGAAGAAAATGTTATTCAAGACTGTTTGGTTATAAATGAAGACTAATTCTTCAGTGCTACTTCTCAGATGTATCTTGAGAACCACTCTGAATTACTGGAAGATAGAAATATCTGCTGCTACCATGCAGCTTATATCCAATAATATCCTCTTATACAGAGATGCCATTATAGAAAAAGAAATCATTTTTTGTTCCTACCCAAATACTCTAATCTTTCAAAGATTATGGTGCAATTTAGGTCACTAAACCACAGTCTCTATATAATACCTAAACCTATTTTTCATTAGCTTAGTTTTGTTTCTTCTGCAAATTTTCTCTGCATGGATAAAATGTGAATACATTATACCCTTAACTCCACATGCACGTATGTAATTGTGTATGCCCGTGGTGGTGGTAGAAGGTGGAAAAGAGGAAAGACCCATAGTAAAATGAAAAAGAGTTCTTTATGTGTATCCCCATTCCGACACATAAAGGACTGGGTCTGTAACTGGGCACATTTTCGTTCTGAAAACCTTGAGAGAATCTAGAGCTCATGAACTATTGAACCAGTTTGCCATCTTTGTATCTCTTTTCTTTGTAGGCAGATCCATGGGAAAAGAAAGGAATTTGAAGTGAATTGAAATCTGTGAGCTTAGACATATGCTAAGAGTACAGTTAACTTGAGTTACTTTTTCCATGCTGCTGAATTGGGTCCTGAATGAGGCAGTTTTGTGACTTAAACAGATTTCACTAATTTTCCTTCCTTGCACATTTAAAAAACAAACCACACTCTCCCATATTGCTGTTTGGGTTTTAACGGAGCTAAGGCATGCACACCCAATTACTATAAGTACTTTAACTAAGGCTTAAAGATATGCAGCATGTTCTTAACTGCAAATGATATGATAGGTAGTGTCTTTCCTCTCTAGTTTTATGTCACATCCAAGAGATTAATCCTCTCATGAATCATCCATAATGACTAGAATAATTTGGGGGAACTGAATGAAATTTTTCAAATTATTTATATCATGAACTCACAAGAATATGAATGGTGGGTTATGCAAATGGAAACCATGCTTACAAAAGATAAATACAAAAAAGGGAGGGATGAAGGTTAAGTTTATATTTCTAAACCTGGACTTCTTTGTATTGACACACCATGGCCTTATTACTTCACTGGTGAGTGAACTCTGTTACAGCTTATGAAACACATAGGGGAAATACTGTTTCTAACATTTGAATGAAAGAATGATGATCTTTTGTATAGCTTAGGACAAAGGTACCGAATTCTCTAAGGATGTGAGATGAGATGCCCTTATTCTATAAGGTTCATGACAATATTTCTTTTTTTTTTGGTTCATGATAATATTTTAAGAAAAAAAATGCTTAAAAATAGCCAGAGATTTTTTCCCTGTATGAAACAAATAGACTGAGCACGAGTTTTATAATTCTTTCTAAACATGATCTCAGACAAAAGACAATATTCTATTTCCTATCATATTTAAGAAATATGGTGTTATTGTATAGAAATCATTGATGAAATATTTCCAAAATTCTATATCATCAGCCTAAAAATCCATATAAATCTATGCAATACATAAAACATTTTATGGAGTTTTAAATTATACAGTACATTAAAGTTTTAGTTGACTTATCTGAAGACATTTTTGGTATGTAAATAAAAATGCAAGGGGAAGAACCTGTCAGAAAGTAAATAAAGTAGGTAAATTAAATAAAAGGTAAGACAGCTACACTTTTTATATAAATAACTGTGTTAACGGAGCTTTATGCATATTACAATATATTCAGACGCATAGCTTTTGCAAAAATAAATTCATTGCTCCTCTCCAAAGAGTGGATTAGAACAATTTATTTTATAAAATTTGGATAGATAGGATAAGAAATGTAATAGCCATCCATGGAAAATAAATATAAAAATTATTCAAGCTCCATCTACTTTATGTTAGTAATGAGATGCACTTCATTCAAATTCCTTTCAATTGAAACAGTGCTGAGGAAGCAAAAACATGATTCTATAGGAAATGATTTCTAATCTTCATGATAACATACCGATATAATACAATTATTTACAATTGACTAAGAGTTAATTTCAATAGTATAACATCTTTCTTGCAAAAACGTCAGCTTTTATTGATGAAACAAACTAAGAATAAAACATTTTTACTTGTAGTATTACAGTGCTGTTTTTCATTCTGTTAACCAAAACAACACAGTAATACTGTAAACAAAAAAATAACATCAGACTGCTTGTGTTTGCATGATTTTATCAAAAACTATCAGCAGTGGAATGAAGTACATCAGCTGCAATTTCAGAAAACACTTGATTCTTTTAGACTCCAGTCAAGCTATATTCAAAGTAAGAAGTGGCCATTGGGCTAATTGTGTTAATTACCTAGTATGTCATGGGAGAACATAAAATTAATAATTGAAAATGACTGATCTCATATATTTAGGGTACAATAAAAGTAAATATTCAATAAAAAACTATCTACGTACACACACACACACGCGCGTGCGCGCAACATAAAACCAGTTTATATACACCAGTTTTCCTCAAATGGGGTCTAAACGTTTCCAGACATTTTTAGTTGTCACAACTCAAGGAGCAGTGCCCCTGCCCACTAGATAGTGGATAGAAGCCAAGCATGCTCCTAAATATCCCACAGTGCACAGAACCGTCTCTCACAACAAAGAATTTTCCATTGCAAAATACTGTTGGACCTAGACTGAGAAACCCTGATACATACCTATAGTTTCTGTTATTACCACCTGCCTTCTTTTCATTGAGATATGCGAGGTATTTACATCAAACAACCCTGTTTAGCCACCAGCCTGGTTAAATCAGAGCACTATCATCATAGAGGAATAGGATTCGTTCTTAACACTTTTTTATGGAGTGCATACTCTGTGCCAGGTCTTCTTGTGGTCATACTTCTAGAACAAGTTGGCACTTGCCTAGTCCAGTTTCTTTAATTAAAAATTAGAAAATAATTGCCCTGGCAGGTAAAGTGATTTGCCTACATTCACCTTGGCATGGGTGGGTTTGAGCTGAGTTTTCTTGACTCTGAGACCCTAGGCAAATCTTTTGTACACTGAAACCTCTGCTCTCAGTAGAGTCAACAACTGGCAATGGTATCCATATATTTGTATTAAATGAAACCATTGATTTGCATTATGTATGTGTTTCCCATATATGAGCTAAAATTCCAACCTGCTTTGACTGCTTGGAATAGGATATTTACAGTTAAATTTTAAGAAACAGATGTAGGGCATGAGAGAAAAGTGTTGATTTTACAGGAATATTTTTATTAGGTCTCATTAGCTGAACAAATCTTCCTTGAGTCATATTTTAATATTATACTTTCATTTTTTTCATTTTTTTATTAAGGAAACTTAATATTAACTACAAAAATGAAAATTCCCTTGGCAATGCTCTAACATATATAAAGACTAGTAGGAGATAATATTTTCAGAATTAAAGTCAAGAAAAACTTTTCTCTCCTTAAAAGATACTATTTTCCTCTTAATTTGTTCTAGCTACCAAGAAATTCAGAGTAAAGTATACATTTCACCAGCAGTGAAAATACTAGTTTTTAATGGTTAGTGTCTGTTTCCTTATCCTTTCCATTGCCCTGATTAACTATCTTTTTTTTAAAGATGTTTGGATGTATGAACAAATAATATAATTAAGTAGATACTGTCTCTATTTTCCTAGAAAGCTTACTGAATATTGTCTTGGAATAATAATAGTATAAGTCGTCTTGAAACTGAATAATTAGCATGCACCTCTTCCCTGATTTGCTCAATGATTTTGCCGCTATTGCTTTGCTAGAATTTCATGATAAGTTAGCAGCAATGCCTTTCTATCATATTCTTACTTAAAACCATGTCAATGGCAGTATAAAGACTTGCAATTATAATACTTGCCATAGCTCTTCTATGTGCTGGGCACTGTGTTGTGTATTTTGTGTGTGTGTGTGTGTGTGTGTGTGTGTGTGTGTGTGTGTTCTTTTTCTTATCATTAAGTCAATCCTGCAAACCGGATACAATTATCTTCTTTTTACTGAAGAACTGGAAGCCTGGAGAGAGGGTAACTTGCCTATTATCCAGTGAGCTAGTAGCAGACCTAGAATCCCACTCTAGATCTGTCTGACTGTAAAACTCTTGCTAGTTTTCATGTGTACTGTTAGTCCACTTAATGCATGAAAAAAAATAGAAAAATTTTAATAGAGTATGAAATCAAATTCTAAGACAGAAGTTTTGGTATGATTTAATTCAATTTCTGGTATGGCTATTTTTATTGAATCTACTGAATAATAATTTATATCATCCCCATTCCGGTTCTTTCTCAACTTCTCCCCACCCCACAGCTATATCATAGACCTAACAGCGTAGTATATCATCTGAAGGATCAGTACATTGGTGGGATACAGGCAAAAGGGGTGGGGAGAATGAGAGGAAAAAGACCATCCAAGGGTTACTCGCACTCAGGAAAATAAATCCTTGTTCCTCCTGTTTGAACTAGACAGAAGCCTGAGGTCAGATCCTGGAGTCCATTTACCCAAGCACACTTCTGATTGTCTCCAGATCAGCCACACTTGTCCTAAATGCTCTCTCCTAAATCATAACAATAAGGACTAATATATTTGAGTGTTTCATAGGTGCTAGACACTGTGCAATGCAATTTACACATATTTTAAATTTTGATCCCCATAACCACCCTGAGATGTATGCTTATGTATTGTTATCAGCCCTATTTATCAGATGATGTAACTGTTGATACATAATGTGCCCATCATCACATAGCCAATCTTGGCAGAGTCAAAATTCTAACAGATTTAATGCTCTCTAAACCCCACGATTGAATACTTTGCTGGGGTCCTTTTCTCTATACAGGTACTTGTTCCTTTCTATTTCTACCAATCTGAGCATTATAGTGATGATTAACTTCTTTAATATCTACCCATAAATCTTAGAAAGATTTTCTGTCTTTCTTACAATTTTGGGCAGGATATTAAGGCATTTCTAACCTTATGGTAGCATTTTTGTTTAAATAAAAGTGGCATGTCCCTATGTAAGAAATTCACAGTATGCCCAATAATGTTACTGAGATTGTTCCAATAGTTTTTAACATAGAGATGGGGAACAGGTGTTTGCAAAAGTATTTTTTCAAAAAAAAACTTAGTTAAAAATTCAATCTAGATGTATTCCACAAACTGTTTTTATAATGAAATAAATTATTTATAAGATACACAATACACTTATTTAGAAAATATCTTAAAGCATATAGTATCAACTAGATTTATTTGACTGGCATACTTTTGGCACTAAATGATATTTATATATTTTAAATTACCCTTAATTTGTTTATAACAGTTGCTCAAATTCCATTTGTATAGAAGGACCATTTTTTCCCTAAAGCACTGATATTCTACTACTTGCTTCACATTAAAAATGTGTTTTCTCCTAAGAGTCCATTGACAATTAAAACATTGTAAAAAGAAGGTTGGTTGCGTTTCAAGTTTGATTTGTCTAAACAATTTGAGTTTTAAAATTCCATCATTATTATACTCAACTTTGATTTTTGAAATACTATGTTTTTAAAGGTGTGGAAAGGCCAAGATTTGACCATCCGTGACCCACAAAAATGGCAATTTCATATGGTTCAAATAAGACTTAAGTAATGATTCTGAAGTATCCATAAAACTCAATGAGCATTGCCTTAAGACTATCCATAATCTTAGTCTAATCTGCTTTAAAAAGTTAAATGCACAAGCTAGAAATAAGAAAGTGATCTTAGCATCCTATGAATGTGCGTACTTACCTTGTAATTTTATACTTATTTACAAAGGAACAGTTTTATTATATTTATCCTTAAGGATATAAGCCATTATGTTTATCCTTACCGATTACAAAGTAAGGGTTAGATTATACAACCACGAGAGTTTATTTGTGGTCAAGCTCATGATTTATTCAGCCGAGTATTTTCTCTTTGATAAAAGGGTCATTTTTGTGAAAGGGCAGGACTATTCTTCTTGGTTCAAATGAAAGGAATATATATGCATGTATAATAGAAAGGACTGGTATTTCACTACCTGAGAGACTTTAGTCATCTGCAAACTAGAGAATGCCTGATTTCCTTCTTCCAAGCAATTTTTGTCATAAAATCATAAAATAGAATTCTTTCCCACCTTCCATATTATCTGTGCCACTAAGTTAAATAAGTATTTTCACCAGAAATGCAGATTTTCAGCCCAGAATTTCACACCACATTGGACTGAAATTTTCAAAAAGAATATAAAGTGTCAGAATTATTTTTAGTCAGAGCAAGAAGTATTATTTATACCTTGCTATAGTTTTTTTTTATGTGAAAACTTAACAAAAAAATTTAACTTGGGGGGAAAAAGTAAAATCTGAAAGTCCATTTCATTAAAGATCCTCTTTAACTATGTCTTGTGGGGGCAAGGGTGGTAGCGCTGATCATGGTGCGGTGATCCTTTAAGTATAGAATCACATAGAAGAAATGAGAAAGAGACTAATAGATATGGAACACCAGGAATGCACTCAAAAGGGACCTGATGCTCATTATCTCAGGTGCTCCTTTCAACATGCCTACGTAGGAAAGGTTATTAGGTCTATTTGGCAGATGAAGAAATTGAGGATAGCAAGAGTAAAATGCATTCAAGGTCATACTTATAGTAAATAACTGAGTCTAGAATTAAGCACAATAGTATTTCAGAAACTGAAGTTCTTGACTTTTCATATGAAATCACATTGGTCAACACTTGATTGGATTAACCAAGTGGGATCATATTCATCATTTAAAACCTTTAAAGAGTACTCTATCTAATCTATTGATCTATCTCCATTTGTGTGTGTGTGTGTATATATATCTATATCCATGTATGTATACATAGCCCACAAATTCACTGTAACATTGTCTTAAGTCAAAATAAAATTGTTTGTTTTTTTTTAATTTACCATCTGAGTTACCTATTCATGGAAAACACTTGTATTTTGTACACATAACTCTTTACGTCCTCATCCAAGGCCTATGAATGTTTATTTTAGACACAATTCTAAGAAATTAAGTTTCTCAACTTAAGACAAAGAAGAAGAGGACAGGAAATGTCACAGAATGACATTATTAAAAAGGGCCAGAATAGGACGAGACGAAGAGGTCAAAATCTATAAAAATCTGAGAAAAATTCAATGTAGGATTCAATAATCTCCCACATTTTAATAAGCATCAAGAGCCATTCTACAATAACATATAAAAATAATATACATGTATAAAAGGTCATCAAGAAAGCATTATGATAAATTATGTACATAAAAGCCTTAGGAAAGTGTGATAAAAACTTAGAGTGTTTCTTTTCAAAATGTTGGCTACTATCTTTTGATGTTTAAAGAGGAAAATCTTAGCTGCTGGGAAAATATAACTACATAAACAAATTTTTTGCAGTGGTGAGATTTTACTCTCCCTAGCTCTGTGTCTCTCTTTCTATAGACTTGCATAAAGCATTTTGCATGCTGACTTTACTTAGTGCAATATGTATTTGTTCCAATATCTCTTTTAATGGATACATTTAGGAAATAAAATTGAATCATTTCTAAATTATTTTTTAGATCTTGAGCTAGAACTTAAGAAAACTCAGTACTTGCTTCTCATTATATCAAACTCATCCTCAGCTCCCCTCTTTCTTGTTCTTGTGATTTAAAAAACAATGGAAGGAGGAGCCGGGCTAGAAATGTGAATTAATGGTAGCAGAGTTAAGACAATAAGGATTTTAGAATCTATGAGAAGTGTATTCCAAAAAATTTCTTGCCACACAGTAATCGTGTGACTCAGAGAAAGTTACTTAACATCCTTGACATTCAATCACCACCTCTGTAAAATAGCAACAAAAGTTCTCAGAAGGAAGTTGTGTATGTTTAAATAAGATAATGAATGGAAAACAACTAGCACAGTATCTGGTATACCATTTACTTTTTAAATTATTTTGATAATTTAATTTACTATATAATTATTTTGATACTTACTTCCAAGTATTGAGATCCATATACACTGTTGCCAAATATGTGATGAGATCAAGGTCATGCATGTGGATTTTACTAATATATTTTCTGATTAAATCTTTACCTAAAAGTTTTATGAGACTGACTTATTAATAAGAACACTCAGTGTAGATTTGCTGAAGTGAGATTCAAATCAGTTTAATGAGTTTAAGTTTGAAAAGCACCAGTATGTTTTGGAAAATAATTATTAGAAAAATTTTTATGGCACTAATTTTCCATTCACATGAATAAGGCTTAGTGAAGCTGCCATAATCATTTTATAATGATATAAGAGGAAATTCTCAGAGATGATGTTATAATGATAAGGTAAAACAAAGCATTGTCAATACCATGGTGTGCTAAGAGGATAATAAAGAGTTTCAGTATTTGAAGCTGCTAACTAGGGATTACATCCATTTGAGGTAGAATCCTAACATTACCTTTATATTTTTATTTGTTTAATTAACATATAATGTATTATTTGTTTCAGGGGTACAGGTCTGTGATTCATCAGTCTTGTGTAATACCCAGTGCTCATCAAAACACATAACATTACCTTTTTATTAATTCTTCCATATGGAAATACACAGATGAGGCTGACGTACCAACATCTGTATAGTAATACACATGTGGATGAGATATCTGAGGACAGGATGTGATCTAGAGCCAGAAGTGATAGAGAACCAGAGTGATAAAGAAGTGATAAAGAATATATATATAATCAATTGATAACTAGATATGTGCCAGGGAGTATAAAAGACTCCCACTAAAGAGGATGATACTTGTTAACCCAGTGCAACCTAAGTTAAGAATTAAAATGGTAAATCTACAAAATGACATAAGAATGTAGGAAAACGGCCAAAGCAAAAGGTCCAAACAAGGTGCACTATATATGAGACAATGCAAAAATCTATCTAAAATCTAGGGCTCCTGTGGGGAAGAATAAAAATTCCTGTGCCATTACTAGTTGTGTGACCTAGGATAATTACTTAACTTTTCTATGCCTCAGTTTTCTCATTTGTTAAGGGGTGATCACAAAATGAGATACTGTATACAAAGCAGATAGCCTAGTAATTGGCACCTGTCACAGTCCTGTGGATTTTTGTTTGTTTGCTTGCTTGTTATTTTTGCTTAACTGCATATATAGGAAATATTGAGGCTCTGTGCTGACTATTCATCCTAGTCTGGGATGTAGAACTTTATTTCAATAATTGAAGTTTTTCTTAGTTGCTATGGTTTAGGAGACATGCAAACAGTTACACAGAGAAGTTTCTTTTTCTTTCCTATAGTGCTTGTAAGTAAGACGGATGATATCTTTTCTCATCATGCTTCATGCACTCATCATAATACGCCTGGAATAGAAGGATGTATTGGTAAGAGAGACAAGTCAACAGTGTTGCCTGAGAATGTTCTGAGTTGCTGCTAAAGACACAAATACTCTTTCACACAGAGAGGTTAAAAAGGAACAAGATAGAAATCATGGTGAGGCAACTGAAGAAAGATCAGGATGACAGTGTCACGAAAGCCACCAGGCAGAGTTATCAGGACAACATCTGCACTGTGGAATGCTAAGGAAGGTGAAGAGTTAGAGTCAACTGCTGAATACTGTAGACTCAGTATGACTGCTCAGGTTCAAGGCACTATTGATGGTGTGCGATCATTAGCCAGTATGATCAATCATTTCCCAATTTTTTAATCTGTCCACTTAGTGCTAAAACTACCCTGGTTATCAACAGAACTGAATGACCTTATGTAGGTTTAAGTCCCCTCACTTGCCATGACTTACCTGTCAGACCTGTTTTTGTAATAATTAATAATAATAATAATAATAATAATAATAATAATAATTTAGGTAGATGTGTCTACTCACTCTTAGGAGAGGCTTCACCAAAAGAAAAAAAGGTATGTTTTTCTTTCTTTTTCACTCTGGACACTAGCTTTTCTAGCTATGATATAGTTACTTCAATAGAAGAAACACAGGCAAGCATATAAGCTAAAACAAAAGACATATTCTATAAAAATCAGAGCAAGTGAGTATTCCTACCTCATTGACCAAGAGGTTCTGAGGTTTAGACTGGGATTTCACTGAAGCCTAACTCCTGATTCAGAGACTTCCAGGAAACTCTCTGACCAGATTGCTTCTACTTAGGGAGATACTCTCCGGGTAAAAGTGCACAGAAGCAGTTTGGATTCTACTGTGCTATTGCATTGAAAAGCTACTTCTAAATAATCATTCACCTTCCACATCACCCAGCAATATGCTTATGAAAGCTGTTTTCTTTCTTGTAACTACAGGTGTCAGATGCATCAAAAAAACAGAAGTGCCCTTTCAGCTCTTCTCTGTGCCATTCCTTGTCAATTTCATGCTGCCTACAGCAACAGCATAATACTGAAAACAGCAATGATGTCACTGGAAGTGTTCTGTGATTGACAAAGAAGAACAGTAATAGTCAGAGGTGGCTCCTCAGAGAATTCAGAACTCTCTCAATGTCATCCAGGGGTTCATCCCCTGATTGGAAAAAGGAATCAAGTGTTCTCTGCATGAAAAGGCAAAGAAAGATGAGAAGTGATGAAGTGATGTAGGTACAGAAGAATGGTCAGTTACTCTAAAGGTACTTAGAAGCAGGACAGGCTGAACACTGAGAACCTGGTTAGGTTCTCTGTAACAGAAATGTAATGACAGTAGAGCACATTCCTTAACTCTCACACTTGTTGAAATGAGTAGAAGGTGGCATTTGTTTGGAAATCCCTCCCCAGTCTTTGTTCCCAGAACCCAGTATTCATTTTCCTGTGCCTACATACGTAGCTCTTCAGATAAACATTACTACTGCAACAAATTGTAGAGTGCCAGGCCTCACCAGATGGTTACATTGAATTAAAAATATATGCAAAAATAAGTTCTAAAGTGAAAATGGATAAAGATATAACTCTCACTAATTCCCAAAATTGCCTTCTATTACAGCCATGCTGCTACAAATACTCTTTATCCATCTGAGTCTTTGTTCCTATCATCTTTCTCCTTTGAAACCCTTTGTACTTCCTCTCTATTCATAAAAGGACCAGCTAAAGTCTTACATCCTTCATGAACACGCTCTTGACAATCCATATGCATTGGTCCCACTCTTCCTGGAAATCCTACTGCCTGCCTTTTATTTGTCCTTTAATCACGACTGTCCTAGTCTATCAGTTTTAGAAATCTCTTTTCTTCTCAACAGAATCTAAATTCCTTGAGATTAGAGGTCATTTAAAAATTCTGCCCTCTGCCAAGCCCTCAGGATATAGACAAGGTAGGAAGAAGAACAGGAGTCTGCAGACTGGGATGAATTGCACACGATTATAAACTGTGTAGCCTAAGCCAAGTCTAATTAGAGAAAGTTTCTTTCAGGAAGAAACTGTTCCTCCCAATTTTCTTCTTTCTTTTCAAATGACATTTTTCTTTCTTCCATAGGAGATGTGATAGTCTGATGGAATTAGATGGCCTAGATTTAAATCCAATTCCAATTGATGTTTACCATATGGCTTTGGGGAATTTATTCATGTCCCCATGCCTCAGTTTCCCCAACTGTAAAATGGACTTAATAAACATTGTTGCTTTTCACATCACCCTGAGTATTAATTAAACTAACATATATAAAGTGCTTAGAACAATACCCGAAATACAGTGAGTGTTAAATACATGAGGGCTATTATTTTGATAGGATCACATTTCTTCTTGTTAGCTTAGTATTCAATTACACTCCCTTCTGGTTTCTCTCTAAGTACAGGTCACTTGTTTGAAAGCACATTCCAACTGGCTGGAGACCAGTGACCTAGTGCCCAGAGCCTTAGGCTGGATGTTGAGGTAGCAGGGACGGGGGGCTGACTCCTCAGTCACTGATCAGTGCATCAGCCCAGGATTCTTTGGGATAATTGCTGATATTTCTGGACTGCTTTTGGCAGATGATGCTGACCACACCAAATATGTGTGGTCTCCCTTCCACAGTACACATTTATGGCTGGGAAGTGGCTTCCCCCCAGAGACCATACTTGACAAACCTTTCCCCTTGTTTTTAAATGGTGAGCCACATTCTGGCCAATGAAACATAAGCAGAAGGGCTGTGTGTCACTTCCAGTCCAAGTATGCCCCTCCTCTTCTTCATTTTCCCTTCCCTGGCTTGATGCAGATGCATATGGTGACCTCAGAAGCCACATGTTAAAGACACTGGGTCCATCTGGTAGGAATTCTCTAGGAGGCCCTGATGTACTGCCTGCAGGAAAGCAGCCTGCAATCACCAATGCCCATGCTGGACTTAACAAGAGTGAGCAAAAAAAGTTCTGTTCTGTTTGATCCATTACCTGGTTTGGGGTTTATTTGTTCCAGTAGCTAGTGTGATCCCAACTAATCTGTTGCCCATCAGTAAATTGGAGAGAAGCATACCCATCTTACCAAAATTATTATTAACGCATAAAATAGCAAAGTTTCAGAAAGCACAAAGTAAATACATGTGGTAATATTTTCCTGCCTACTTGGTACTTATATTCTGAAAAAATTGTGTTAAACTTGCATCATAGCTCACCAGTGCTTCTCAACTCATCCATAAACTCAAATGCTCTGGGTTCCAAAGTAAGTGATGTGCAGCAGACTGACTTGGACTTTTGAAAGGTGCTTACTAGGATTCAGGTTTAAGGGAAAGGAAGGCTTAGCAGGGAGATGATCATTTATCATCATGACAAACACCAAAGGAGTTTTAAGTAAAAAGATGAGCAAGGCCAGTTTACCATGAGTTAAGTTCCCAGATCTTTACTGAATTTTTGTCGAATGCACTTAAAAGGTTTTAGAGTAAAGTCCTCCACATAAATATCCTTGATTTTGCTATTGTCTCTTCTTCTTAAGTACAGAATTTTACAACTAAATAAGCAAAAAAAAAAAAAAATTTGCCTGTGTGTATGTTTGTGTGTGTTAGGTATCTGCCATCAAATAATACCTAAATTCGAGTTTGAATATGGACAGTCCATCACCACATTATCATTTTAACACTTAATATTTACAACACATATATCACTTTTAGATCCCCCCCCACACACACACACAGAACACCCAGCCTTAATTAAGACCCATATCTGAGGCACTTTCGGTCCTTTTCATCAGGTACTTCTGGGATTATGCATCATTAACAAAGCCTGACATCTTTGATGCTCTGAGGTGGTTCAAAACTCTGAAGTCAGTGTTAATCTAACCTCTGCCAAAATGAATACAAATCACACTCTTGTTGGTGGTAGATTTGTTTGAGGGTAGCCTTCATCAAGTAACCTCCCACCCCCCGCACCCACGCCGCCACAACATCTATGGGTCCTAAGATAAGAATAAAGATAAGGTTAATG